CTTTTTGCTGCTGTGCGGTGTGCGTGTGCGGTGTGCGGGTGCGAGGGGAAAGAAAGAGGGAAAGAAGTTTCAACCTAAAATTAGGTCGTGGGCCACGAGGGATCTGGGCCTATACGGACTCGGTTCGTTAATTTAACGGGCCGATTCTTCACTGGATTGAAGGTTGCAGATCTTTTATGTTTCGGTTCTGCGTGCAACCGAAGCAGCAGTATTATTTTTCTGACCAGTTTAGGCACCGGTTGCCTTTAAAAACCGAAAATAGTATAGCTGTTTTGACACCGCAGTTTTTTTTTAACGAGGACTATAAGGTTTCTTTATTTACCAAACTGCCACCGCGACTGACTAGGCAGCGGTTTGATGTAAACAGAAGGTATAATGGCACGAGTTTAAAAGCACATTTTGTACTAGTGCTTTAAGCCTCGGTTCAAGGAACCGAGGCAATATGTAGCCTTTCCGCCCCCAGACCCGGCTGCAACAACAATACGTGCGGCCTCACGCCGGACAACACCGTCACCTACACCGCTACCTCTAGCGAGCTTGCTGAAGATACCGTCTCTGTCCAATCCACCAACGACTTCAACCCGGGACGAAACGTCACCATTTCCCGCTTCCTCTTCTCCCGCGGCCCCACCTTCTTACTACAAGGTCTCGCCACTAGAGTCTCGGCAGGACGAAACTCGTTCTTCGCTCACAGTTCACTTCTGCATTCAGCTTCCACAGGAAATTTGTCGTCTGCCTCTCCTCCTCAAAAGGCGTTGCTTTCTTCGGCGACGACCCTTACGTTCTACTCCGCAACATCGACCTCGCTCAATTACTCACCTTCACCCCTCTGTTAGTCAACCCCGTCAGAACTGTTTCAGCTTTCTCCTAGGGAGAACCCTCCGTCGAGTATTTCATCAGCGTGAAATCCATCAGAATCGACGAAAAAGTTGTGCCCCTCAACACGACTTTGTGTTAGGCCCATTACTGATGAAGAACATCAAGGCCCAACACAGGATCAAGAAAACGTGGACAGAGGAGAATTACCCAAAAGAATCAGAAGGAAACCCACACACCTCAACGACTACATGACTAATTGATTATTTGCAGTGTTATTGGTTCTAGAAGGATTTAGGATCATAACTAACTTTATTTCCTTTGTCATTTTACTTTTTCGCGTATCATGTATGTTGTTATATAGAGGTATACAAATGTTTGGAAAGCCAGCGAATATACAGGAAAATTCTGTTCCCTCTAGAATTCTATTATTCTCTCTGTCTGAGCATTATTTTCTTTCTTTTCTGTTGAGATATCTTTCACTTTGCTATCCATAAACAGCAATGACGTTGGGGAACCAAGATTAATTCCATTAACCTGATACATCGTGTTGGAGGCTTCGATTCTTCAAAGCAGTGACAAAGGCTTTTGTAAAAGCATCTGTTGCGAGGAATATAACGAGGGTGGTTGGTGTGGCACCGTTTGAAGTGTGTTTCAACAGTGAGAACGTGGTGGGCACTCGGTTAGGGGTTTGCACAACCAGAAGACGATTTGGAGGATTTTCAGAGCGAACTCGATGGTGAGTGTGAGCAATGAGGTCCTTTGTCTCGGGTTTGTGAATGATGGTGAGAAGCCGAGGACTTTGATTGTGATGATGGGTTCAACTTGAGAATAATCTCTTGTAGTTCGATTTGGCTGCTTCAAGGATGGGTTTCAGTTCTTTGCTTTCGGAAGCCGAACTACATGCACAAACTTCAACTTTACCTCCATTGTCTAAAAGAAACCTTTCTATAATTACTCATGACCTTTCTATAACTTTGCGCAGGTATAGGCATCTGTTACCTTAAAATCGAGGCAATAGCCTTTTTCTGAAAAAGGTGGCAGACCAAAAGTCTGACTTGTAGAAGAGAGAGGTTTCTTAGGCATGGGTATAGGCATCGGTTGCTTTTACAACCGAGGCAATATTACCATTTTACTTCGGGTTTTTCTAAATCGAGGTATATAACTTTGCTATTATTAGAAATGTTACCACATTTTTTTATACTTCGGTTTTTATAAAATCGAAGCGTATAGGACGTGTTAGAAAACAGTTTTTTTACTAGTGTGAACTCATTTATCATGTTTTTATCATCACTACTAAGTAAAATCATTAACATAAATGCTATTGTTGAATAAGTTATCTTCAATATTTCTTTTAATGAAATTTTTTTGCTCATTTAGACATTTTTGAAATCCTTCCTACATAAAGTGAGAATCTATATGATTGAACTATTTTATTAGTGTTTACTTTAGATTGTACAAAGTTGTGTTACTTGCATATCCTTGCATATCCTATGATTAAACTATTCCTTTTACTTTAGGTTGTTCAATGTACATATTTTAAATTGTTCTCCACAAAGGAATGCATATTTAACATCCAACTAAAATATGTCCCTTACTTTGCATGTTGCAAGTGTCACCTCATCTTTATTGTATTTGTGCATGCAACAAAGGCAAAGGCAAAATCTTCATAATAATTAGTTTCATCTTGTTGGAAGTACCCATTTGTCACTAATCGTACTTTATATTTATCTAGTTTGCTAAAATAGTTTAATTTTGTCTTGAAAATCTGTCACTTCAATTTGTCTTGAAAAAAGTTGGATCGTTATCATAACTATGTTGCACCTCTAGTTCTTCTTCATTCAACTCATTATCACTCACAAACCCTTCCATCCAAGTCGAAGAGATTTGTAGCTCATCAATGGAGATTGTTTATTTCCTTTGAATCATTAATCAAAACCACAACATGGGTAAATTACTTTGTGAATGTTTGAAGAATTCTTCACTATTTTTTGTCGTAACTGAATTTGCGATGCGATGATAAACCCAAAATGTAAATTTTAAAAAACAACATAAGTTTTAGAGTTGTCATCGTATTTTATTATGAAAAACTACAAAAAGATCATGAAGATAAAGTAGGGTCTTCGAAATCTGAATTGAGTCTGGGAGTCAATTATGTTTAGAGAAGGTGTTAGCTAGTACCTTACAATAGTTGTTTGAAGATAGTACCTTTAATTAAATATGCAAAATAGATGTAATTTTTTAAATGTTTATTTTTATATGAAATAATAAGAAGATGTATTATAGAAACAAAAATATTTTTTGAAATTTTGGGTCTATCATGGACTACATTGACTTTTGCATATTTATGTTCATAAAATCAAGACTTAAGTAGTTTTAAAAAACTATTTGGAAAATATTTTTTTTTAACCCAACGAGAACTAACCTTACTCTATATACTTCTATTTAGAATAGAAAATCAGAAATTAAGTAAATTAGTCATATCCTCTTCATCATTTCTCATTTAGTTCGACATTATCATTACTGAGGCAAAATGTGTAATAATGGTTTCAAATTCTTTCATTTCAAACTTCAAACTTTCTTCAAAAACTTAAAAAATGATAAATTCATCCAAATATTAGTTTTAGGAAATTCCAAACAATTGTTCATATGCCTACTTATTAAAAAATTACCTCTTAATGGCCTGAAAAAGATAATACTTGACTTAATGATATTTTATTCTTATTTGTCTAACTATTGCAACTTTGCATAAGTTAACACAATGTTCCTTAAAACTAACTTCTACCAAGTTTTATAGACCCTTAACATGAAAAAGATTTTCTATCAAGTCAATTCAATGATCATAAGTAGATAGTCAAAGTGAGGGTTTGATCTTTTCATCACCCATCTTTTATTGCGCTCTCTTTTTACGTTAACTAAGTCAAATTAAACTAATTTTAGAATTATATTATATATATATATATATATAGATATATATGGAAACCAATGAAGTGAAAACTTTGATAAGAATATATAACTTACAAATTGATCTTGAGTTGAACTTGTTGACTTGAGTTGAATTGACTTATTGATATTTGACTTGGGTTGTTTGTTTTATGGGTCAAGCTTGGGCCAATTGTTAAAGGAGGATAACACTATTTGAAGTGAAGAAGTACTTGAAGCCAAACACCATAAGACACACATGGAAAGCATGAGTAGTTTACCTTTTCTAGAAGGTCAATAGATGAATATGAAGGCTTTATGGTCAAGCTATGGTTCTCTCGTTTTCAAGACACCTTCTTTTTGACATAAATTCTAGAACTTTAGTTTTTCTTTTTACTTGTGCACCATATAGCCTTTTTTTTTCTAAGAGACCCCTCACCATCAATTTTAAAAGGAGCTCTTCTAGACTTATGTAAGGGTTGAATATTTAGAGTAAGATTACCTTATACTTGACCACCTTTGTGTGTGTGTTCTCTTAAGAGTGTCATGTTTTCTTGTCTTATATTGAGCCTAGAGCTCAAGTGATTGCTTTTACTACTTGGTAAACCCTAGTGCCCCTCAAGTGGGTGCTATCACCTTATTCCCTTTCATTCCCTTTCCTCTTTCACGTCATCTTTTTCTTCATATTTTCTTCTCTTTGGCTATTTATGTGTTCATTTATATTCAACACTTGTGTTCTAGTATTTATTCCTGATTTAGTTTCCATTACTTGATCCTCTCCTTCTCTAGATCTTTGAAAATGAACATTCACATCTAGATAACCTTAGTTATCTTAATGTCTAGTGACGATCTTTTTTGAGCTTACTTAATCACCATAAACACCATATAAACTTAAAATGATGAAGGGTGTTTATCAAATAGCATCAATTAAAAACAAGAGTTGTTGCATCAAATTAACTTTGAGTGCTACCAAATCTTTTCTCACATCAATATTCTAATTATTTATAGATTTTTTATCCCAATATTTAAAGAGTTTATTTAATACGATTGTTAAAAAACAAAATCTTTGATTTTCTTTTTATTTAAGAGGACTTAATTTAGTTTTTTCCATTAAATTGAAATTAACATTGTTTGAAAGGTGACCACATATATGAATACATATACCTTTCCCATGACACATACATATGTACATATGATATGATACTGGATATTATTGTGAGATAACAGTCTGATAACTGTGAGACAAAGGAAAGATGAATTACCTGAGGTGTGGAGGGTACTGAGGTGAGGAATTAGTCCAGTAAGTGAGTCGATCATCGTGTTCATGAGGAGTGAGAGGAACCAGAGTGGGGTCTTTGGCTACAGAATCAAACACTTCTTTCCAGTCCCTAACGTTCTTGGTGTGCTCAGTGTCATAATAACCCATCGCATTCCTCTCATCTCTGCTAACCTTCCTCTTCTCCTCCAAACTCTGACTAAAGAACATCCTTGAAGCTTTCTCAATGTTTTCTCTCAGATTGAGGGGCACCCCATGGTTGATTACTTGGAAGAAACCCCATTCCTTGCACGCACTCCCTATCTCCTTCACCAACCTTTCAATGGAAGATGCTTCTGAAACTGCCTCATTCGTTACTGGAGAGAGATCTATCACAGGAATTTCTTCAGCTTCGATCACACACAACTTTGGTCTGTGTTGCAGCTCTTGGATGAAAGCAGGCTCTACCTCTCCCATGCCTCTTCTTAGCTATGCTTCACTTTGCCGACTGCATAGTTTACTCTTCTATATATATAACTAACGTAATAATAATATTGTTCTAACCTAGAAGGTCCCATCAATCAAATTATTGCATAAAAAATATTAGTCCATCAATAATATTATCTTTAACATGTGAATTATTAGTGTATCTGATCAATTATCAAATTAAAATCTTATAAATAAAATTTCATTAAATATTTAAAATTAAAAAAATTTCATAAATATGGTTTACATCTAATAGGATTAACACGACTTGCTGTTACAAATAGTATATAAATAAATCAGATCAAACTAAATAAATAGCATTGTTTGGTTGGATTGGGTTATAAGGTAACAAATTACTAGATCAAGAGTTTTTTAGTCCTTATAATCAGATTAGATAGAAAAAAGTTTCAACATGTTTATCGGATGAATCATATATTTTTTCAGCTTTTAAGTAAACAACAATAAATGAAATATTTAAGAAAATATATGTTGTATGGATATTGTGAGTAAAATATTTATGTGATTGTGATTCCTTCGTACAGATACATTGAATCAGGACACACTCCATATGGTTGTTTTCTCTGAAGGGATATCAAAAGAAAATAATCCTTACGTGTTTTTTCTTTTATGAAAAAGAAATGTGAAAATTGTTTGAATCAACTTTTGCTAAAGGTTAACTAAGTCTCTAAGTGGATGATATGCAACTTTTACTATATAGTTTTAGTAGATTGATTACTCTCATAATGTCTACTGAGGCTTAAACTATCTATAAAAAACCTTCAAAGTAACTTTTTAACTTAGTAACGGGAAACATTATTTATGTCATATTTTAAATAATGTCTTCGACGATATATAGTTATAAATTTAATGTTTTAAATTTTGACAGCATAAAAGAGAAGAAAATGTTCTATTAAGATTAAAAGATAAATTCATACATTTATAAAAATTACAGACAACAATTTCAAGTTTTAAAGAATGAAAAATAAAGAAAATATTTTGTAGATACTAGATCAAAGATTACATAGGATTAAAATTATATTTATTTATTTATTTTTAAAGTAGAAATGGTGGGTACATTATTCAACAGTATTATTAAGATAGTTTAACTCTTGCATATTACCTTGTAAATACATGGTATAATCTTAAAATAAATGAATAATTGAATATTACCTTATAAAGTAAGAATGTAAATTGACCCTGTGCTACCTTTCTAACTTTTCCTCAAGGAAGTTACTCTTTAAGACCCTTCTTCAATAACTTTTAACATTGTTATTATACATAATTAATTATTCAGTTATTCAAAGGTTGCTTCTTTATTATATCCTTTGTCAAGAATAAATCTATAAGGTCAACCATCTACTATAAGAAATCTTACTGTGAATATAGTAAATAGTTAAAATCTTATTAGTATTTTCTGATTGTGATAACTTTAATGTTACACATAATTTTCTTTTAGTATTCTATCATACACATTATTAGTACAACTAAAGTTTTGATTTACAAACTTGGCAATATAACAGTGAAACCCAAAGGAAAGGACGTTTTCAACTATGATAGCTATAAGATGTCTCATTGCCACCCATAAAACCAAACACAAAAGGTTTCAAATATCTACAACATACACAAAAGAAGTGAATGCAAATGTGAAAAACATGATAACATTCTTTATTCTTCTGTATCATATATCTCCGTATCTGCTCCAAATTTACCTAAGAATCATCACCTAAAGTGTATATGTGCAGCTTCCATCACACTTCTGGCGTGTGATCATAGTTTTCTGCAGCAGGGTCAGTGCAGCCTTCAGGAACAGGAACGTAACTGCTGAGCTGCTTGTCCTGCACCAAACATTTATGGTAACCTTAATTTAGTCTTGTTCATTCATCATCAATGGTTACTCCAACATAATCCTGAAGCCAGAAACAGTTTTCCCATCATGAACTTTAGGATCAAATCAAGGGTCTAACCATAGAAGTTTCCTGTCTTCATGGCATCTTCATTTGCATCTCCAAGTGCAGCCTCTTTGAGGTATTTGTCAGCCAGTTGAACTCTCTTCACATTCTCTTGCTCTTGGACAAGCATGTTTCCATACTCAAGGAGCTTGCTAAGAGACATCTGTGGTTGCTTAAAAGTTGGTGGTCCCTCCTTTGAATTCACTAACTTTTTCCCAACATTCTCCACTCCCACCCCAGAAATCCACTTTCTCACTTCATCATCATACACTCTGGCCCTCAAGGCACCAAAGAAGTCTGCATACAATTCCATCAAACAGATGGATTATTCACATGTCATCATGCAATTTGACACCAATGCCTGAAACTTCTACGGTGTCTTCTTGTTAATTAAAATGATGTGCAAAACCATTACTATACAAAACTGAGATGCTAATCAGACAAAGAACAAAATAGTGAATGACCAGACAAGGAACCAAAGAGTAAGACTGGGCATAATTAACTTAGGTACAGTAAACTATAGATAATCTATTACTATTTGTACTATAAAAACTGAACTGTTTTTATAAAAAACTGAATTATTTCGTTTTTTGGTGTATTTAAAAAAAATTAACTTTTCTATTAAAAGTATAGTTTAACTGTTTTAAACTCTGAACTAATGTTGTTCTTTTTTTTCTTCAAAATCAATAAACATTGAACTATCTTTTAGATTATATATATATATATAATATATATATATATATAATATGACAAAATAAATGAAATAACTGCTTATGAAAAGTAACTAAATAGGATGTATAAAAATAATAGTAGTTAAATGTTACCAAAATTCGGAAAATATAAAAGAACGTAAATGCTATAAATTGGAACATTAGAAATCAATAATAGTGTTGTAAAGTTAATAAACATAAATATTAATAGATATATATATATATATATTAGAATAATAATAAGCAAATAAATCATACGGCTGGTTTTAATATTAGGGAAAAGGTCAAAGATGATTACAGATAAAGATATATAAAATCAGAAAGCAGACCAAATTCATTATGTATTGGGATAAGAACTAAAGTAGGTTAGAGGCGATATTCTCTAGCTAGTCTGTACTAATAATTTATATATCCTACCCTAACTCTACGCGCTCCCTCTAAGATCTCTATGAATAGGAAGAAGGAGAGAGTGCTGCTCCTAGTGTGCTCCGTGCTTCAAGGAATTTAACTCCTTGCTAGAAAATCAGACTCCCCATCTTAATTGCGCTACTAAAGTTTATAGTTACTGTTTCAACACGAACTACATTTATTAAATTTGTATTATGAATCGATAATTACTTTTGTACATATAACACCCTACTATATTACTTGGGCATAAACTACAATAACTGTTTTCAAGGTTCGTTAAAAATTATATACTAATTATTAAACATAAAAATATTATTACAATTCATACTCAAATTCATTCATCGATTTTAAAAGAACTAAATTTTATTAAATTGTGATTATGAATTGGTATTATTTGTTAAATTAATTAAAACTAAATATATTGTAACAATGAAACAGATAAAGTGTTATGAGAAAATAATTATAAAAATATAAATACAATTATATCTATATTTTCTATTTGTGTGTGTGTTTGTAAGCAATTGATTAGTAGTTTTTCTATATTACTAATATTCAATAATTATTACTATATAAGCAAGTCGGTATATGTACGTAAAAATGTATTAGATTTCAAAATTTATTATTAGATAAATAAATAAATGTGTTGTTTCAGTCTCTTAAAAAGCTAACTATTATATAATATGGATTAAATAAAATGTAGTAGTAAATTTTACTAAATACATTATATATTTTAAAAAAAACTAAGTTTTATATATTGTAAATTATATTGCAAAAACTGTATATTTTTATTAACTTATAAAATAACTATAATGGTAAAATAAAGATAAAAGTACTTATGTAAATACTTATAAAATATAGATATTATATATATATGAGAATTCAGAAAAAGGTGAGAAGAGAAAGAAAGATAGAGTTTTTATATTAAACTAGTAATTGTCAAATATTAAAAATATTGCGAATCACCACGAACAGAGATAACAGAAATATTTTTAGAGATTAAGTTTTAATCTATATAAAATAAATATAAACAAAATTATATTATTAAATTAAACTATATTTTAATATGAGAATCAAGATTTTAGACAATTTTATATTTTTAAATTTAATAATAAATAGAATGAAAATAATTATAGTTATTAATTTAATTTTAAATAGACGAATGAAAAGATACACTGAAGTAGGGAGGAATTAATCTCACCTTAATTTTTTTATTTATATATATTACTAATTCTAATTATATAGATTATAATTTAATTTTTAAATGTGTGAGTTATTGAATATGAATTATTTGTTGTATTATAAAAAAATCAAATGAATTAATTCTTTTAACTTTATCGCTAATTAGCCATGACAGTTGACAAGTGCAAAACTACATTTATTTAGTTGAAAAATATGCATTGTAGTTAACTGAATTGTTTTGTAGTTACACTGAATTGAAAAAATAGTTTAGTTCAAGTTTTTTTGAACTATTTCGAGTGCAGTTCAGTTTTTTTAAACTATTTTATGTTAATTGTAATAGATTTATAGTACAGTACAAATAGTGTAGTTTGTCCACCCCTATCAACAGAGGTGTCATAAAAGCGTTATATTACTAGCATGGAATCACATTCCATCCACTATGGCAAATGAAGATAAGGAATTAACAAATAAAAGTTTGGTTTAAATATGTTTCTGAGTATTGGCACATAACATTCTTGTGACAAGTCCCTGTTTAAATTTTATTCTTTTCAGGTCTTAACTATTAGAAAAGTCGTCAAATTTCAGTTTCAGGTAAAGAACAAGCACTTTGTTCAAAATATAGGGATTAAATGTACTAAATAACTAACACCAAAAAGCGTTGATTTATACAAGGTACAACATATTTAAGTAGATAGTTTTAGCTTGAAACTTGAATTGAGTTATGACTTACCAATAGATTGGCCAGGGAAAGT